ATAACCACAGTCATACACAATGATACATAACTACAGTCATACACAATGATACATAACTACAGTCATACACAATGATACATAACTACAGTCATAGAACATGATACATAACTACAGTCATACACCATCATACATAACCACAGTCATACACCATGATACATAACCACAGTCATACACCATAATACATAACTACAGTCATACACCATGATACATAACCACAGTCATACACCATGATACATAACCACAGTCATACACAATGATACATAACCACAGTCATACACAATGATACATAACCACAGTCATACACCATGATACATAACCACAGTCATACACAATGATACATAACTACAGTCATACACAATGATACATAACTACAGTCATACACCATGATACATAACCACAGTCATACACCATGATACATAACCACAGTCATACACCATGATACATAACTACAGTCATACACCATGATACATACACCACAGTCAGACACCTTTTGATACATAACCACAGTCATACACAAATGATATAACTACAGTCATACACCATGATACATAACCACAGTCATACACAATGATACATAACCACAGCCATACACCATGATACATAACCACAGTCATACACAATGATACATAACTACAGTCATACACCATGATACATAACCACAGTCATACACAATAATACATAACTACAGTCATACACCATGATACATAACTACAGTTATGTCATGATACATAACTACAGTCATACACCATGATACATAACTACAGTCATACACCATGATACATAACTACAGTCATACACCATGATACATAGCTACAGTCATACACCATGATACATAACCACAGGCATACACAATGATACATAACGACAGTCATACACAATGATACATAACCACAGTCATACACCATGATACATAACTACAGTCATACACCATGATACATAACTACAGTTATGTCATGATACATAACTACAGTCATACACCATGATACATAACCACAGTCATAAAAAAAAAAAGTACACTATGATACATGAAACTACAGTCATACACCATGATACATAACCACAGTCATGATATGATACATAACTAAAGTCATACACCATGATACATAACCACAGTCATACACCATGATACATAACTACAAAATATACACAATGATACATAACTACAGTCATACACCATGATATGTATAACCACAGTCATACACCATGATACATAACTACAGTCATACACCAGATACATAACCAGTCATACACCATATACATAAACTACGTCATACACCATGATACATAACTACAGTCATACACCATGATACATAACTACAGTCATACACCATGATACATAACTACAGTCATACACCATGATATAACTACAGTCATATACACAATGATACATAATCACAGTCATACAATGATACATAACTACAGTCATACACCATGATACATAACTACAGTCATACACCATGATACATAACTACAGTCATACACCATGATACATAACTACAGTCATACACCATGATACATAACTACAGTCATACACCATTATACATAACTACAGTCATACACCATGATACATAACTACAGTCATACACAATGATACATAACTACAGTCATACACCATGATACATAACTACAGTCATACACCATGATACATAACCACAGTCATACACCATGATACATAACTACAGTCATACACCATGATACATAACCACAGTCACACACAGTACATAACTACAGTCATACACAATGATACATAACTACAGTCATACACCATGATACATAACTACAGTCATACCACGATACATAACCACAGCCATACACTATGATACATAACCACAGTCACACACAGACGATACATAACTACAGTCATACACCATGATACATAACCACAGTCATACACCATGATACATAACTACAGTCGCCCCGCGATACATAACTACAGTCTGCACCAATACAACCGTCTACATAATGATACATAACTACGGTCATACACCATGATACATAACCACAGTCATACACCATGATGCACAACCACAGTCATACACCATGATACCATAACCACAGTCATACACCATGATACATAACCACAGCCATACACTATGATACATAATCACAGTCACACACAATACC